TTAGATTCGATACGTATGGAAATTTGAAAATATTAGGGTGCAAATTCTGTAAAAGCCTTGTCGACAACACTAAACACATATTCCTGGACTGCCTTAAAACAAAAACTTATATAGCCGAAATTATAAACGTACTCAACCGTATATTAAGCGTCCGAATTAAGATAACGGAAGAGGAAATTCTCTATAATAGCTATATCGGCCCCAATGCAAAACGTCAAAAAAAAAAACAATTGATGGCACAAAAATAAAACTTGATATTCAGAATAAATATATGCCCCATAGACGACAATGTAGTCTCGAAGACAATCATCCCTATTCATACAATTTTTAACAACTATGGAATACAAATTCAGCAACCTCCAATTCTTTGGTATACTAGATAACTGGAAAGAGATCCTAAATGGATATTTATCATCATAATTTTGATCCATGAAAAAAATCTCGACCCACCGCGAGCGGTAGCATAATTGCTGACCGCGAATGCCAACATTTTAGACCGTTTTTAACAACCGTAATACCATCTCACAATTAGCGGATGTGATGAATCGGGGAGCTTCATGGTTGATGTCGTGCTGTGTGCGTGTTGCACGTCACGCAGTACGTACGGAAGCCGGAGTGGCGGAAGTAGCGCCGTGCTCTGCATGGCGCAGACGGAAGCCCTGGGCAAAGTTATGCTGTGACATACAGCATATACTGAACCCCGGGGTGGAAGTTCGTGCCGTGCTGTGGCGCGGCAAATACTGAAGCCACCATAAGCATATGACTGCTGCTTACGCAGTGGCATGCTTATGAAGTGTTATACCGATATGACGTGTCATTAGACACTGATCCGAGCTTTGAAAAACTCTGATCCGCAAGAATAAAAAAAAAAAAAAAAAAAAGACAAACTAGTTTACTCAATGTATGGACAACATAATACTTACGCTTGGATCAGCCCAAATATTTGAACTCAGGTCAGACTGAAAAACTCTACTACTTCAGAACAGAGTAGCGACTTAGCCCCCCATAATAACTGCATCCCCGCCCCCCCACAAACGGGAGCGTAAAACTGCTAATACCATCACAACCCCTACGGAAATGATGAAAAGGTAGCTTCACGGTGGATGTCATGCTGTGTGCGCGCTACACGTCTTCAAACAGTATGTACGGAAGCCAGGGCAGCGGAAGTTGAGATATGCATGGCATTAACGGAAGCCCTGGGCTAACGTCATGCTATCTGGCAAATAGCATGTACGGAAGCTCGGGGTCGAAGTTTTTACCGTGCAATGCATAGCATATACGGAAGCTCCCAGATATGTATGACGGTCGTGTACCCCGCGACATGACTACGAAGCGTTAGTACCGATGTGACTCGGATATGACGTGTCTTTGAGACACTGATCCGAGACCAGAAAACTCTGATCCGTAAAATTAAGAAAAAAAAAAAAAGGACAAACTAGAACAATCGAGCCAATAAATAATAATAAAATAAATGATGAGCGCGCAGTACAGTTCTATAACAAAAAAAATATATAAATATTCATTGAAACGTATAGTAATGAATATTGGCATAACTATTGAAAGCACATTTAGAAAATGTTTGCAAATCTCCATCATCTAGACCAGGGTGGTCCAAGGTTGCGAGGTTGGCGGGCAGCGAAAACTTTTGAAGATGTCTCGCGGGCCGCATTCGGAGAAAGTGATCAAATCATCACGAGTTTACTGACTTCAAATATATATATTTAAGAATGAGAGTTTACCATTCTAATCAGTTTGTTACGGAAGATATATAAAACATTTAGTTATTTTAAAATGGCTTCCCGAGTAATACCGTGGTATTTTCGGTATCTTTTCTCGTGTTCGGTTTTGTAATGTCACTTAAAATTATATTCTTTCGTGACAGATATTAATTGAAAACACACAAGACATTGTCGTTTAACCTTGTTGTGGGTAAGGAAATACGTTTCCGCCCAGTATACCTCGGTCACTTTTTTTCACACTCATTTTATTACGGATTGTAATATTTGACTAGTTTTATTACCTGTAGCGTGAGCAGATCTGGTGATATCGTCAAAGAACTGGAAAAAAAACTGGATCGCGACTCTGCGTTAAGGCAACTCTGCGGTTCGTCATTGCTGTCACATAGCTAACGCTTGAAAATAGAGAAGTGTTTAACTAAAATGAAACACAAAAGGTCTCTTCAAATGAGGAGTCACTTGACGCGAGCCCAAGGTACAAAGTTTATATAAAAAATAATTCATTCTCCTTAAACCGATCACAGGACGTCATTCCCATATTGTCACCGTCTTGGCGTTTATAGATACAACATTGAAGTTCCGTGATTATTTTTTTTAACAAACATCAATCCCGGGATGAAGAAAATGGCTATTCCTAGTTAGAATAGTTTAAAAATAACTCAAAAATGTACTGCCAATGAATACAAATATCCGCAATGGTTCAGACTTTAGTGCACGCCAAAATTGTTCCACGGGGCGCATGGAATGTGTTCGCGGCCGCGGTTTGGACCACCCTGATCTAGACATTTGTATAGAAGTATTTCAGGATCCCATTTTCGCCATACCTTATTACCCACGAATGACGAGAGAAAATATATTTCGCTGTTGTCTAGATTTGCCAAGCTTAAGGTTAGCTGTTTTTACCTGTGTATGCTAAAGCTACTCTTGCTATTTAAAGTGTTGAGTTGCTGTTTTCAATAAATATTCCATCCGAAATCTTGGGTCTTCTGATGTAACAACCACAGTAAAACAACCTAACTGTGACATTATGAGCGTGACGACTAATTTGGTCAAGTGCGGCAACTTCCAAGGTTCATATAATGAAATGAATTCCCGTTTAAAAGAAAACAGCGGTTGCTGCATCGTGCTTAGTGGATATAGGCCTCGATTATCCTACGCGGGTTGGTAGGTTTGAATCCCGTGGGGGATAACTATTGATGAGCTGGAAAAATCGTCCGCGGAAGCTTACAGACATTTTTGTCTGGTCTGCGATGAAGTCGAAGAACTATACATTAAAATTTGAAAAAATTATCTGAAATATGTCTATGGGCCATTCTTGGCAAAAGTTGTGAAAGTAATTTTTTTTATTTTTGATATCAAAAGACATTGGAAATTTATTGGACTGCATTTATTTCATCGAACAATATAAAATTTCACCCAGGTTTTTGATGGTTTATAAAAAATGGCCTGAAATGTAGAAATTTTGGTATGATTGACATATTTTGTGATGATTCCTGACACAAAGTGTTTGATTGTGTGGTACAGTTATTTCATATGGAATTGACGCACTGGATTTAATTTAATAAAGTTTAAATGTTTGCAGTGCAGTAGGACATTTCTTCACCCATTTAACGATTTATTACCAGAATTTTAAGAGATGATAGAGGCCGCTATTCCGAAATGGAAAAATGTTCTGTGGTGTCACGTCCTGTAGTGTCACATACAATATGCACATTATTGGCATGGATTTACAGTGTTACATTAAGTTACTTGAGCAACACATAGAGGTGTAGTTCAGCTACTGCACCAGAAAATATTATGGACTCCCACTGTACCATCGCAAAAAGATGGCGGTCACCGGAGCGTAGTATGTGTATCAGGTTAGGGTTAGGTCATAATTCTGGGTGCAAATACCACGGGAGTCACTTGGCTAGTCCCCGAACTCGTGAAAGAACTAAAATAAAAAAAACTTGGAATAAAATTACGGCCTAACCCTAACCTGATACATATACTACGTTCCGATGTCTGCCATCTTGGTTCACATACTTCGGGAGTAACAAAATAATTATGACGTTACAAAACTCACAGTTAATAACTAAGTTTATCTGAGAAACTAAACTTTAGTGACATAATCACGAAACATATCAATAGCAGCAGGAACGCAAATGCAATAAAATATTCAACAACAGAAACTGCGTTCCTGCTACAGATCACCCTTGTTCCCAACATTTAGCACAGTGTGCCATACCGCCAAGCATAAATATGGTTATTGTGGATTCCAATACCTTCAATCACTCATTGCTAATAGCGCAAGATAATAAACAAGGCCTAGCCCGATTCATTACATATGTGAGTTACAATGACGCGCTTCCCATGCAAGCGTTTCGTACCTGAGAAAAGAGTGATCACGAATTTTGAGCAATATTTTCAGCTTGTGGCATTTGCTGAAGGTATTTTCCAGTTTGACAACTACAATGACAAAATTAACTAGTTGTTAGACAAAAATATAAATTTGTACCACTTTCCGAAAGTATCAATGCGGCTATATTTCTTGAACAGACTGCGTAATCGCTGATTTGAATCTCAAGGTTTGAATTTTTTGAAAATAAAATTCGATATAGAAACTTGATCAATATACGCGATATACGCAATAATGCAATATCAATGTATATCTAGTTCCACAAATCCCAACTGTACGTACAATGTCAAAAATATAATTTAATTTAATACTCGATATGACTGGTAAGTAAGCGTGGTAACTGTGTATGCTTCACCCTTCCATCACATTTGTCTTGTTAGAGTTCCTTTAACTTAACATCAAAAAAACGCACAGCAAATTATATAGTCCATAAAATCTTGAAAATTTTTAAAATTGCAAATGGAATTTATCGATACTATATATTGTTTTGACCTTCACATATGTATTAAATGAGCAATTACTGATTAAAAACAACGAACTTGGTTAAAATATATTGAGAACTGACTTCATAACGAAATTAAAATGTAAAAAGACTTTATCGACACTCCGTGTATCGAGTAAAACATTTGGGAAAATATTATTCCTATATACCCTTATCTGGGAAAATAACAAATGGAAAAATTCGAGAATGTAACCATCATTTCTTGGTTATAATCACTTAATTTTAGCATTTTCATTTCATACGATAGTGCCAAGCCGACCGTATCCGAATCGGATCAAGTAGCAAGTACTATTTTAGATAGCGCTTTAACCGTTTTACAGGTGCCAATTAGATTTGTTTTACCGCTTTAGAACACTTCAACCGCATATGAACCGAAGCGTCTGCTTGGATTGCAAAAAATGAAAGTAATATTGAATAAGAAGTCAAGGACGGTAGTTTTCGCAAATAGTCACGATAAGTAAGCATGTTGAGCGTAAATAATATTGAGGATGAACTTATTGCAGACTTTGGGTTTTACGCGTGCATTTTGTTGTTGGAAATTGTTTTCATAAGCTTCAAAACAGGACAGGCTCGATTGAAAAATAAGGTAATGTATTTCTCAAATAATATTTATGCAGTCGCGCTTGTTTTTTGATATATATACAGTATTTATCACACAGAACATTTTGTTTTTTCGTATATTTCCAAATCCAACTACCTTTCATACTCGCGTTTTACCTTTCATACTCGAACTTGGCACTAATTAAGCAACCGCTCTAAATCTACTGTTCTGCTGTATAGAAAGGTTTTAAGCTTTTGGTTTGGTACAGCGTATTCGATTATTCGAACTCAATTTATCCAAACTCAAAATCTTTAGCTTAAACTACCATCGCGATTAGATCTAGCAAGCGACATACAATTGCGCTATAACCGCTTAAAATCTGATAGTTTACGAGAGATTTTTCAACATCTGTACTATTAATATTTTCTGCGTTGTTTCACATGATTAAATTAACTTTGCTTTTGTATGGCTGGCAAAAATTTTATTAAAGCAAAAATTTATTAGTAGCAAAAGGCTGGGTTGGGGGTAAATGACTTTTGATCGATTCTCTTATTTAAAAAAGTTGAGTTTTTAAACAAAATTTTTAGAATATTTGGTGTATACTTATATATACTAATATTCCGTTTTTATCTTTTCAAATATTTTTCTTTTTTTAGTCTTTCGCTACTCCGGAAGATGCAATACGTCGAGGAGGATTGGAATTTTACAGACAAAATGAGAAAGTCGAACGTCTAAGAAGGCAAGTTATAATACCACATAGAATTATGAATACTGTTAAATATGTATAGAAATAGAGCTGAGATGGGAGAATTGATGATGGTCGTATTAATTTGTCCTAAAATTGCAATCAGCTTACTTTTAAGCGGACTAAACTCAAATTTCTATATTTCTTGTAGCCCAAAATACAATTGAAATTTAAAATGCAACCAAGCGTCCATGGGAATGCAATTAGATCTCGATGTGCGTTTTCGAGAACAAGCCATCTAATTTTCGCATTGCTCATTCCTGCTACTTTCCTCACTATCGCGGTTTGCCACAAAGGGTATAGCATCAAAAAGAACTTATTTATGCCTGCATAGTAGTATGGGCTCATAACTGAGTTAGGATTACTGTTTTAGCAATGAAGTCAGGCTGTCACCCTGAAAATTAAAAAAAATATATAGGATTTTCTAAAAACTGTTTCTTTAATGTCGAATTCACTTACAACGGGTCCGCCTATTTTTATAAAATCCTTCCGGACTTATAGCTTTATATCTATAGCAATACAAGAACGTAATAATAAAATTACACACTAGCGCTACATAACATGACATGCTTTACAATTCAGGGGTCGGCAACCTTTTGTCGCTCGCGGGCCAAAATTAAAAGTTGCAAGTCATTGGCGGGCCGCACATATTTTTAGAAAGTTGAAAACCGAACGGATGACCGATGAATTACATTTTTTCACATAGATCAAAAGTTAAATTTTATGCAGCGCGCGAAGACTGACCATTCGAATATTTTCTGCGCCATTAAACCATTTGCAATTAGCAAGAACTTTTCTGCGTTTTGTTGTCATTTGTCTAAATTATAATTAAATTATAGGCTCATTAACGAGTAATTGTGAATTCAATACTTGTTACGTTATAATATAATTTAGTCTATGCGTAAATTCTTTTGCGTAAATGAATATAATCGATAAAAGAGCTATTTTGTTACAATAATTCAGTGAAGCGTCGCGGGCCGGATCTGGCCCGCGGGCCGTAGATTGCCGACCCCTGCTTTACACGAATAAATAGATAACTTTCGAAACGCTTAATAAAACTCTTCTAAAACGAAACAAAATAGGAACGGGATCTCGGATTACCACAACATTCCAATAACGGGGATGCCTCTGCTTCACTTGATATACTACAAGACTAGGCTTAGCATACGTCCCGGTTTGCCTGTATAGTCCCGATTTTGACAATTCCCAACGTCCCGCCCAGTAGATTCAATGTCCCTATCATGCATTATGGCAGTCAGTCGTTCGCTGTACTGCCGTTAAATTGTGCAAACTGCCGGAAAGAAACTGCACTTTTTCCAATGATTTGAATATTACTAATAATCATATGAGTTGAATATTACTGAGCCCCGGGAATGAAAGGTTGTCCAATCGGGAATGTTTCTGATTTTTTGTCCTATAAATAGGGTAAGCCTATACTAGACTAGTGGATTATTTTGTGAATCATTTCATTTTGAACAGAATACACCGTAACGACTTGGAAAACATTCCAGCTTTCCTGTTCGTGTCAGCACTTTACATCTTGACTGGGCCTTCGCAGTTTTGGTACAAAATTTTGATGCGCTCTTACGCCGTCTCCCGGATCTTATACACCTGTTCATATATGAATGAATGGAGAGCCCCTGCCCGTTCTGTGATCTACTGTGTTGGAATGTATTTAATACTGTTGCCCATGTTGATTGGTGTTCTTTATGCTTCTCTCTGGTAAATGACAACATATTTCTTGCAAGATATAACATGTAACCATAAAACCATGTAATTTTAATTGGATACTTTCGACGTACGGCGAGTGATAGACATGTTTTGGTAATTTATCATTGGGTCATATTATTATATATAACTACTGTATATTATTCTTATATAAATTACATGAATTGTGTTGGGAAAATTACATCGCTGTATGGCAAAGTGTTGACTTTTGAACAAAAATATTTCAATAATTATTTGTTAGTGTGACAATAAAAAGTGTACAAAAATGTCAATTGAATTGTATTTTGGCTGCAGTAGAATTTTGGTAGTATTAGGAAAATTCAACTGTTTTGTTGACTTATCCATTCATCTGAAAGTTGAAGGAGTGGTACGATTTGAATCGTTTAATCAATTGCATTGTGAAAAATCTGTTTACTTTTTTCTTTTGGAGTTACTCACATTATGTCCCAGTGCCCTATTGTTACTAAACTGATATTGAAATAATCTAATTTATTCTCAAAAGCGTATGACGTAACAACAAAATTATCATTCAAAACAACATCTGCCTTTCCAAAAGTTTCTGTACAGAAAAGATATCTTCAAAGCTTTCGTTTGATTTTTCTGAAAAGCAAACACGAAACAATAGTTTGGAATCAGCCTAAGGTGTATACTAATAACGAAATGTGTAAAATCACCATGAATTGTAAGTTAACAAAGGTTATCTAAATAAGACAATCATTAGTTCTTATTGATAAATATAGGATCTATTGGAAGCGATTTTTTTTTACTTGTTACTCATTCGTTAAATCGATATTTCCCCAAAATTTGCAAGTTTTATAACAAATAAAAGGAAGTATAATTTACCATATTTTGAAAAATTCTAAGCACAAAAGTAACTCGATCACGAAGCATCCGCTTTATGTAATGAGTCGCTTATTTGTTTTCACTTCTTGTCAAAGCCGGAAAGAATAAGGAAAAATGAACCATTTTTCATGCGTGGGCAATGGATAAAATAATATAGACCATGCTTGATCATACATAAGGGCGTTATTAATTAAAAAATAAAGAACGGATGTACAAGCGGCCTAATTTTTTTATAGGGAGGTCGCGACTGTATACATACAATATTATTCGGATAATATATTTAATCTGCGCATAAGCTGATTGCGATTTCAAAGATAAAAGGATTTCCAAGCACAGTCGTATTACAATTTGATTAATTGTACGATGTGATTTGTCGCTGAGCAGGAATCAGATTTATGCAACTAGTTAATCAGAGCTTGATAAAATACTCTACATTCGGTGACTGCAATTTCATAGTATGCATGTTCATACAAAGGTTCCACGTCAGAGCGTCAAGAAAACTCGAGATGATATCTTGCCTCACGATGGATCTACGATAGCCAGGAGGATAGTATGCTTCATGCAAGCTGTGTCTCAGTCTCATAACGTCAGTAAGCACGCCAGGTCGAAAATGACACCAAAATTCGAAAGCATGGTAGACGTGGGATGTGGTGACGGTCATAGTTCAGCCCTATTCGCGCCCTACTTCAACAAAGTGACGGGAATAGACAAAAGCAAAGCCCAGGTTTGTAACAGTTTTGGAAAGTTAATTAAATAATATGATGAGTGCAGTATAAATAAAACCTATCAAGAATTTCGAATAGGAAGCTTTTGCCTATATTTGAACAGTTTTATTGTTTGATCTTTATTCATACATAAATTCTGAAAAGTGTTCGAAGTTAATGCGAAGTGAGATTCTTCGTGAAATATTTAAAATTCTTTTCTAAAATTGAATCCCATTGATTGCATTCTGAACTGTTTGATTATTATAAATTACTTGTGAAGCTATTATGAAAATAAAGTTAACCAATAAAGGCATTTTGTTGCACAGGCATATATGCTCTGGGTTGGATTAACCATTAAGCAATTTAAACACGTGCTTAGGGCACCACGAGAAGGGGGGCAGCATGTAAACTTTCATATACGAAATTTCAATGGTGCCTCACTGTTTAACGAAATGCTTTGCGATGGTCAGACGATACAGACCTCAATATTGGCCCGTTCGGAATACACTTTTAATTATTATTTTTTTAGGAACATTTCACACCTTTCTATAATTGTTTGTAAGAATGAAAACTATTTCCAAAAAATATCATCAATCATAATTTAGCCTTTAATTAGTAGTAAATACTGCAACTTATTCAGACAGCATGGAACAATAGTTTCATTATTTTTATCTTATACATATAGGACACTAAAGTCGTAACGACTTAGGACCTCTGAAAGGCATGATCCGGCCCTGCATCCGCTTGATGTAAATTATTGAATTCAAATTAACAATAAAACATCAGATAATTAGAAATTTCTACAAACCCTTGAATTTCAAACCTCGTTCAATTTATTTTGTGTAGATATTTATCGCTATCCAACACATGGCCAATCATATTGAATAATGAATTTCATTCAAAATGGGACAACTGATAGCAATTTGAAAACATTAGCTTCATGGTTACAGCAGCGTCCTTTGGTACGTCTTCCTGATAAATGAAGTAAAATAGTTTAGTTTGCTATATAGCCGCAACTTGAACATACAAACTTAAAATCGCTCCAAAGTATATTACACAGCATAACAAACTCGCCAGAGATAGCCTTAGCAAAACTTAACAAAAGAAAATTTAGTAATCAGAAGTTTATTTCATCACCATAGTGGAAGTACAATTTGTTTGAACAATATGAAAAATAACAAGAGAGCTACGCCCAAATATATGGACACGTTAACCAGAGCGAAGCAGTATTTACCTTTGACGCCACCGGTACCCACGAAAAATGCCGAGTTTCGCGTAGAAATAATTTACAGAATCAAACCGGACAGCCAGTGTTCCCATGGATAAAATAATACAGCGAATTTTTAGACGAAATATCAGATTTCATGCAAAATTTAGAAATAAATAAAAGTGATAGCCTTCTGGCAAAAAAAAATCAATCTTTACTCACTGAAAATTTCAAAGCAATTGGTCCAGTATTCGAAGAGAAAAGCGATTTTTTAAAAATGATGGAGACAAATAACAATAACAACATAATATTGAAACGATCGTTACGTCCACTAAACGTGTCCAATAAGTAATAAAAAACGTAAAAAATACTGTCCAGGGTGAAAGTGGACGCGTCACCCAATATTAACAGTAATTGTCACAGAAAGGGGGGGAGGGGTCCATCAATATTTATATATATATCAGGAAAGTCAACGTCAACGAAAAAATAAAAAATAAAATGAAATAAATGTTCCAAAGTAGTTTGTTTATCATTATACAATTCGTATATGTTCCATTTGTATTATATCGTGTTTCGCATTTCATTTTTAGGTTCTTAAAGCTGAAGAATACTCGAAAACATTAGATCCAAAGTCATATTCTTGCCTTCAATTCCAAGTAGCTAGCGGAGAAAATATGCCTTTCAGAGACTCCAGTCAAGATTTAGTTTGTTTTTCAAGATCGTTTCACTGGATGGAACTCATGTCAGATGCAATGAGAGAGGCAAGGAGAGTCCTGAAACCAGACGGATGTCTCGCTATGTACTGTACTGGTTTTCCAAAAATTAGTAAACAATTATCGCCCGATGAACACGCCAGCAACGTTACAGTAGAGAAAAACAAAAAAGCCAACGAACTATTAGATAACTTTTTTCGACACGATTGTGAAATACATCCACGGTCGGTCTTAGCTGTCGATGATAAATATCAAAGAATTTATGAAGCTATTACAGTTGATCACGAACCGCGCAAAGGCAGCAAATTTATCATTATAGACGACAAAAACCTAGCAATTCGTAAAAATTTTGTGACAATTAGAGAATTTGCTCAAATGCTACAATCTTACGCTGGGTATAGATGCGCAAAAATTACTTTATCTGAAAACAATTCTCAAAATGATCCACTGAATGATTTTGTAAATAACCTTAAATCAACTTGGTCAGTAGACAAACTTCCCAATGACGAAATATACCTCGATATAACTTGGGATGTATCGTTGATTTTATCGACAAGACCAGCCAAATTAAAATAGAAAAAAGGTGACAATAAGTATTTGTTAATGTGACAATAAAAATTGCAGGAAAATGCTAATTAAATTGTATTTTGATTACAGGGGAATTTTAGTAGTATTAGGAAAATTGAACTTTTTGTTGACTTACATGTCCATCCGAAAATCGGAGTTGTACGATTATTGCCTCGTTTCATTTGCGCTGTAATGAATATTTTATACTTTTACTTTAAATTAAAATTGGATTTTATTATTATTTTTGTCTATTTTCTGTTACATTGACACTGTGAAATATAATATTCAAAGCATATTTGAGAAATGATGTATTAATATATGTCTGCTCAATGTCCGCACACAGCACCCTTGCATTATACCAATACCACCACTATGGCATAGCGGGGCGATTCGGAGTTAGTCTAAAGCAGAGGTTCCCAAACCAGGGGTCGCGACCCCAAATTGGGTCGAAGTGATAAGTAGGTAGGGTCGCAAACAGATGGGTCGGTGGGGTCGCTGAGGTATGATGGAGGAAGGATACACAAATCATCTAAGATTTGACAAACCGTGTTAAATTTAGCAGTTTGTACCATGGCTTACTGTAAAACAGGCTCATCGCGCATCACACCGGAACGTAGTATGTGTACCAGGTTAGGATTAGCCCATACTTTCATGTACAAATACTACGGGAGTCACTTGGCTAGTCGCCGAACTCGTAATAAAACTAAAATAAGGTAAATTGAAATAAAATTATGGCCTAACTCTAACCTGGTACACATAATACGTTCCGGTGTCCACCATCTTTTTCACATACTTCGGGAGTATCAAATTTTCTAGTATTCAAGGCCAGCATTATACTAGGCTGATACATAAGAGACCGAAAATGTACACAAATGATAAAAACCTTTATTCTTAGTTTTTCCAAATTCCCCTAAATCAGGTTGGGATATCAAATTGCATTTAATCAAAATTATCATGTTGTCCTATTAAAGGGCATTCTATTGTTCCTGGAATATAATTTAATTACAAGTTAGCGTTGGGTTAGGGATGACGCTTGCGTAACCTCGGTGTGTCTGGCTTAATAAGATTATCAGTACACAAGACAAAAATGCCTAATTTAATAATTTTAAATTCTAGATTCGTCTTTGTTCGACCTCGATTAATCGCCGCCTATCTATTGAGAAAAATCATTTCAATTTGTTTTGCTCCTTCACGCCGTTTAGTCTAAACCAGTGTTTCTCAAACCTATCTTGTCTCGGAGCACCTACGCTTTTCATCTCGCCTCGTGGAACACAGAAAAAGATAAAACTAATAGAAAGAAAAATCATATGCATCAAGTTGCACAACCGGCTTACAACAGCACCTTTTGAGGCTTCGATTCTTGTCCCGCGGAACACTCCGAAAAAGCTCGTGAAACACAGTTTGAGAAGCGCTGGTCTAGACTCTAGACCAGTGCTCCGCAACTGGTGTGCCGCGGCGCACCGGTGTGCCGCGAGACGATGCAGGGTTTGCCGCACAGGAATTGCAACTTTTCCTTCATTTTACAATTTTTTTTATCCTTTGGTAATTTTACGTTAGGTTACGACTCTACTGTACTAACGTAAAGTTAACCTGCTTTTACGTTAGCTTTAGCGACACCAATTCAAATTTCTGACCCCCCACTGTGCATTTGTGACGTAACAAGGAGTAGGCCTATATGCCAAGCAGATATACTGTAAAGCCTATTGTCGATACGACTGGATCCGAAATCCTTTCTCAACTAGTGCTGAAATGTCAACGAAAGAATTACCCCTGCGTATTCGAAAAAATTTCTTTGAAGTAAGAAATAACAGAACGCTAAGACTGAAATTCAGCGAAATTCCACTTGATGTGTTTTGGATTTCAATTCAAGAAGAATATAGGCACATTTCCAATGCAGCTATTGAAATATTGCTCCAGTTTTGCACAACTTATATGTGCGAACAAAGCTTCTCCTCTTCATTACTGATCAAAAACGATAAACGATCCTGCATAAAAGATGTTGACGACCAATTTCGAGTTGCTCTTTGATCCTAATATAGAGAGATTGGTTGTGCTAATTAAAACAACCACAAATCTCTCATTTAAATATGAACATAAAACAAAGTTACACTTTTTTTTCCGTTTGTTGTGGTGTGCCGTCGAATTTGGCAAGTTATATAAGTATACCGTGTGCCGCATGTTACAAAAGGTTGCGGAGCACTGCACTCTAGACAAAGCCCTGTACAATCACACACTGAATGATAAACAAAGAACAACTATTTATTTGGATTAAAATCATTTCGGTTTCGCTTTTTTACCCAATTTATTATTATCATGTAGTCTATGCAGTGATGGGGTGTGATTTGAACACAAGATGGCGATCTGGTGGGCTGACACACTACCTGTGCTATAAATGAGATAATGCTTTTTCGATTCGGCTTCCGTTTACAAATATTTGAGCATTGCTATCTTGTTTTAATCGGAGTTTTTGAACCATTTTACGTTATGAAACAAGGGTGGGCAAGGTTTTTAGACCAGGGCCTATCTAGGCTGGCGAGCCATGTAAGCGAGGCGTAAAAAGTTAGATTTCATGAGCAATATTTACAGTGTTACAAAAGCGAAAGTGGTATACAATAAGTCTCGTACCAAAACTAAATTTAACCGGAATCTCAACAAATTACTTAAATTATATTTTAGCTAAAACATCAACATTTGGTTTCAATTTGGTTGTGTCAGCATCAGGCGGCCTGATTGAATTGCCCAACGGGCCAGATTTGTCCCCACAGTTTCAGTGCAGGGTAATCACCGTGTGAAACTGATATGATACGGAATAATAATTCAGAGCAGTTAGTACTTCAGAGAATTAGATAACGCGAAGAAATTCTCGTCGGGAATAAATTATCAACCTTAAGGCAAGTAAAGTATTGAAATGAAAAAGACTGTTTCTGAATACAATATATTTTCTTTACTCTAAATATCCACACTGCCGTTACTGATATACAATCCAATGCCTCTTTGGCAGGTCAGTGAATGAATATAATACAAGTATCTGTTTAAATAGAACATTAGAAAATGAAATGTTAAAAACGATTAGGCTACATTTTATCAAAACAAGACAACCAAACATGTAGACAATCAAGCTCAAAACGTGATCTCTTTTTTATTTACCCTAATTTCATATTTTATTTCTAGATTGGCCTCTCTTTAAAACAACAAAAATTGTTCAATAAAATGAAGAGAGCGGCTATACGCTCACTCATTTCTGTGTACCAATATGGAGGTAACTAGTTTCTTTCGCCTGCTTTACATCAAGTGGTGTAAATGGAATGGAGCCTATGGGAAGGAGGTATATTCACTTGGCTAACACAGACAGTCCCCGAATTCGTAATAGGACTAAAAGACTTCCGTCCCCGACTAAGTATGTAAAACCTGAAAGCCAAAACCCACGGAGGTTAAATAAAAGCAATAATAGCCTTCTAGGGACTGCTTCCACCTTGGAAAACTTAAAATTGATTGGGTTATTAGTCGCGGGGAAAATAAATTGTTTTACAAAAAAAAATCATAAACTCCATTAAAAATTTTTTTAGTAGTCTAATACAATCCACTTCATATCTGAATATTCTACACTTTATATCTCAATATTGTTCCATTTTCGTTTCGACGTCGTTAACGGTTGCGGTGGTTGGTTGCTGACAATTTCAAAATCCGCTCAACTCAGTTCCTCTTTCAGACTTGCTGCTAAATAAATGTAAAAACAATTTATGTGAACAAAATATGTAAATATATCTATTGGCTGATTTGTTCACTATCAAAACGACGTGGGAACTAAAAACCCATTCTTGTCTGGTATTTCAGACGTTAGGAAATAGGTAACGCGCACCTCATACGACGACTAGCGTTATATTTGGCGTGTTGAAAGTAGAATATATTTTCTGATATAATGGAACATGTTGTTAGTGAGATCGACATCAAAGATAACCTGTTCTTACAACTCTGAATCCCATTATTAAATATATATCGTTTTTCACACAATTAAATGTGCCGATTGGGTCAAACAGCACCAAGAAAAATGTTTTCAGACTTTTATTTATACGGTAATTGGTCAAATTATTACGTTTTCATGTTTAATGTGTTTTGCACACTTTTTCTTGAAAATTTCCATCTTTAAAATCATACCCATTTGACAGCAGCCATAGAACTTGGACTAATATCCTAATTGCGTTGATGTCTTTTCAAAATCACAACTTTTCTAACACTTCAGGACTCACAATATATTTCACCCTGGCGGATTAATACTCAGACACAATTTTTTTGTTGAAATTTCAACATAGACAGGGTAAATTTTTCAATCATTGGGCAAGCTCACACACTTACAAAATAAGTTCGCAATAATAACAAAATTTGGATATTTTGATTAAACAATGAGACCGCAATAGCTACATGTTAAAACTTACCCCCGCCCTCTTTGCCATCTACATTTGATTCTTCGTTAGATCTTGGAGCGATGCGAGCATCACTATCAGGCTGTAATCAAAACATTAGAGATTTGAAAATCGTTTGTACTAAAGGTAATCTCTGATAACCAGATTGTATGGGAACCCTTATTTCAACACGGCATTAATTTGCTGTTATCGAGGTGCTGTACAAAGAAGTACCTGGCAATATGTACGGAGCTACTTATAATTTAGATTAGAGGGACTTGTACCGGTACTCCTTTAGTGTGTGTACCGGGTTAGGATTAGGCCATAATTTTATTCCGATTTTCTTATTTCAGTTCTATTACGAGTTCGGGGCTGTGTTTGTTAGCCAAGTGAATATACCATACAACTTGATGTAAACAAAGTAGGCGAACTGAAATATTTATCTTGATATTAGTACACACACATCTGAAGCGCCCTTAAACCTATCCGGTTTAGCATTGTCTACTCAATTTATTACACCTTGAGAGGTCGGGAATTTGACCCGAGATGTGTGATCTGCGATGCCACCACGATTTGGTCTGACACTGCGAAATCATACCGTCTTTCTCGCACAAAATACAGCAACACGCGTATTTGAAATATTTTAACTCTTTGGACAGAAAAAGTTTTTAATCAGAATATAACTGATATATATAAGTGCAATATAACACTATTTTGGGGGTTTCGAAACTTATTCTGCAGAAATTTGATTATTTTTTTTTCTAGATAAATGAGTAATATTAGTAGGTTTTCCATTTATTTACTGAGCTCATGAATAGGAGCCAACTCCATATACGTTTGCTTGGAGTGAGGTCGTGATTCATGATTAAAATCAAAAATAATATTTCCGCCAGATTTCTATAAGTCCGTCATCTATGCTAAACCTTGCCCCGTCTCG